CACACACACACACACACACACACACACACACACAAAAGAACCGACGTTCCTGGACGTCAACTGTTGTCGTTGAACTCTCCTCTACGTCGACGACTCGTTGCCATAATAACACTGGTCGAGCGTCGATCTGACCAGCTTAATTAAGCTCCTCACGCCGTATCCTGCGTGTTCATGTTAAGATAATCCACGTGGCACGTGGTGCGGCTCACGCTAACATAAGCCACGTCAGATCGACAGTCGACCAGTTGCTTCGAACCGCCGACCTTCTCAGGAACCGTCGACCACGAGGAGCTCACACAAGCCACGTGGCACGCGGTGTGGCTCACGCCAACGTAACCCACGTGACAATACAAGCCACGTGACACGTGGGTGCGGCTGCTACAAACATCACGACGGTCGTGTCTAACCCTTCAGTTCCACGTGTCACACGCGATCACATCCACGTGTCACACACGACGACGCGTATCACAGACCAAATGATTACGGCTTCGAAACGTTTGTGACCTTCTCAGGAACCGTAGCCCTGTCTGGGTCGGTATCCCAATTCAGCTTGTGACCGCTGTCTTCCCGCTCGAATACTTCATTACGGTGACCGTCTTTCCGATTAAAGTTAATTACTGTATTATTGCAATTAATTAATCATTAACAGTTAATTAAAAATTAATTGCCATGATTAATTACTAAATGTCTTCAGGAGCAAGGGATCGGATTGGTTCTTGTTCTTTTTAAGCATACTATATTTAGTACTAATCAGAACCGAGGTTAAATTGGCCCGCACGCCCTGCCAAGGGAGGGGAGGAGAAGAGTAAATTTCTCACGTCCGAATCTAGACCCCCCCGATGACCAGGAAGGTCAAGAAAAAATGCAAAGAAAGAATGCCAATCAAGAAAAACGAACACGATATGGTTTACGCTCTGCTGTTCAGCTCTCTCTCTCTCTCTCTCTCTCTCTCTCTCTCTCTCTCTCTCTCTCTCTCTCTCTCTCTCTCTCTCTTGATTAGCTGATTGGCAGGAATGTACAAGATTTCTCTTCGTGGGACCATCGGCTTCGAACCGTCCACCTTCTCACAGCTTTCCTTTTTTTTTGGCACCTAATGTCCCGAGCCAAGGTCCCACTCGCAAACAGGATGAGATTGAGCGCCTGAATCTGGATGTGTTAGTAAGCAGAGATGCAGAAAAGCAGATCAATCTCTATTTCCTGTTCCTCTCCACAAACACGTCCACATTCAGCCGTTCAATCCAATTCCTCTTTGCCAATGTGGCCTCGCCCCCGTTCGCTCCAACTAACCGTGCATCCACTTTTTGTTCCTTTTTTTTAATACTTTTTTTCCTTCTTTTTTTTTCTTTTTTCCTTCTTCTTTTGTTCCTTCTCTCTTCTTTTTAAATCTTCCCCCCTCCACTTTTGTCTTTTCTTCTGACCATTCATTTCCATCTATGCCCCTCGTCATCGTTGTTTTCCCAAATTACTCCCCCTAACAACGACCGTTGGTTTCGAACCGTCGACCTCCTAACACCCATGCTACCGTCTTCCCCCGATAGAAAGCACGGTCACAACAGCTGATGTATTTGGGGCAAGTTTCAGTCTAGATACATCGATCATGACCGCGCGTTCTATTCGGGGAAAGATGGTATCTGCATTTCCCATGACCTCACAACGGTTCTCTCGGCCACTGCGCGCCGAGAATCTCTCGGCTTCTTCACACCGCTAACGAGGGGGGGCGGGTATCACTGCGCGCCGTTAATACTACGTATAGCTTCTTTACTGCGCGCCGTAAAGAAGCTACGTACTACCGGCGCGCAGTAAGAAGCTATGTATTAACGGCGCGCAGTGAAAAACTACGTATTAACGGCGCACATTAAGAAAAGACGCTGCTTCGCGCCGTTTTTAAATCATGCGGGTATCGCACGTGGAGTTCCTTGAACGTAACATCCACCACACCTGCGGGGCAGATTTTGAAAAAATAAATTAAAAGCGGCATAAAAAAGGACTTGGCGCGCAGTTTTTGATACTGCCCGTGGCCCAGGCGATGAGTACGTGGTCAATCGGATGATCCCACAGACTCCGAAATCGATGATTGATTGATTGATTGATTGATTGATTGATTGATGAGTTGATCGTGATTGATTGATTGGTTGACTGCGATTGATTGATTGATTGCTTGATGAATTGATCGGGATTGATCGATTCATTAGTAGATTGATTGATTGATTGATTGATTGATTGATTGATTGATTGACTGATTGATTGATTGATTTGATTGGCTGATTGATTGGTGCACAGGAGCATGACTAGTCTGTTTTGATTCAATTGACTCGATTCTGTACTGGATGAACTGCATCTTTATTTGTGGATGAACTGTACATCGCGGTGACTAATAGCGTGCCCGGTCATTCGTTCATTCATTCATTCATTCATAAAATGACTGATTACTTGATTGATTGCGTGACAGATTGAGAGATTGAGAGGTTGAGAGAGTGAGTGATCACTTCAAAAAAGCGAGTTGTTGATTGCACGTGTGTTTAGTAGACCGCTTGTGATTTACGGATTCATTTTGCATCGGTCACAACCAATCAATCAATCAATCAATCAATCAATCAATCAATCGATCGATCATTCAATCAATCAATCATTAATCAATCAATCATTAATCAATCAATCAATCGATCGAACGATCGATCATTCGATCAATCAATCATTCATTCATTCAATCAATCAAGCAAGCAAGCAATCAATTCATCCCACGACGATGAGGATGATTCCATGAGTCACGCATGCCTTACTACGGTACTTTATCATCTGATCGGGTTCGGGGTCGTAGAGATTCTGTACTTGGCTGGTTGATCGCTGGACAGGTAATCAGGCTGACACAGCCCATCGTTTGTTGTCCTCTTCTCCCTCCCTCTCTGCCTACGGTTTACAGGGCAGCTGTGTTCGACGATAGATATATTGTCGCACAATATATAGAGAGAGAGAAGGCTGTGTGACATCAGCTTCATGTAACGATATATATAGGAGATGATAGTCAGCCCCTCGTTTGCTGTCCTCTTCTCCCTCTCTGCCTGCGGTGTACCAAGCAGCTCTGTTTGAAGACATATATATAAAAAAAAAAGGCTGTGTGACATCAGCTTCATCTGACAACTTCTTCTTTTTTTTTTTTCGCATTTGCGCTCTGATATTCTTGTGACAATATATATACAATATATATATATAGTATGCAATAAATTTATATACAATGAATTGAAAGATTGAAGGCGGGTAACGAGAATCGAACTCGTATCTTTTCCTTGGCAAGGAAACATTCTACCACTGAAACTCCGACGAAACAGTTTGTCACAGCCCCTCGTTTGTTGTCCTCTTCTCCCTCTCTGCCTACGGTTTACCGGGCAGTTCTATTTGACGATATATATAGTCACAAACAGAACTGCCCGGTAAACCGTAGGCAGAGAGAGAGAAGAGGACAACAAACGAGGGCTGTGACAAACTGTTTCGTCGGATATATATATATATATATATCATATATATCGTCACAAACAGAACTGCCCGGTAAACCGTAGGCAGAGAGAGAGAAGAGGACAACAAACGAGGGCTATATATATCGTCGTCATATATATATATTGTCAAATAGAACTGCCCGGTAAACCGTAGGCAGAGAGGGAGAAGAGGACAACAAACGAGGGGCTGTGACAAACTGTTTCGTCGGAGTTTCATATATATATATATATATATATTATATAGGTATATATATATTATATCGTCATATATATATTGTCACATGAAATCAGAGCGCCAAAGCGAAAAACAGAAACAAGAAAAACTTAATTCGTTTTGAATCTTCTTCCTTACAAGACTCCCCCTGTTCAGAACCTCTTGCGTACAAGGCCGCCTCACATGATATCAGAGCGCCAAAGCGAAAAACAGAAAGAAAACAATACCTTTCTCGGCCTTTTGGCTAAGATCAAGTGTAGTATCTGTTCTGATCAGTTTAAAATAAATAAAAAACAGAAAGAAAACAAGGAAAACAAGAAAAACTGATATATATATAGCACATGACAGACAAACCATAAGTTCAAATTCTGACGAAAAGCAGATGATAGACATATACACAAAAAAAGGCTAGCCCCCTTTTTTTCCAAAACAAGAACAAACGTGAAACACACACACACACACACACACACACACACACACACACACACACACACAAACACAAACATGAACGCATGCGCGCGCGCAGGCGGACAGACAGACAGACAGACAGACGGAGACGGCTGCCTAAGCGCCTCCCCCACGATGCTCACCGCCACTGATGTGCGGCATCTTCGCCGCGCTGCGACCGAAGTGCGCGTGTTCCCGCGCCGCCCGAGATCCGATCAGCTGTCATCCATCCGACAACTGGATCCCGACGCCTCGTCCCCGCAGCGCTGTGAGACTTTTCGATGGAGCCGTAGCTGAAGACAGCCGTCTCCCTATCCCTAGTTCCTACTTCCCCTCCTCGCCTGCGCACTCCTCTTTCTCTCTGTTCCCGGCGGAAGCTACGTCCAACGCTCCTTACCGCGCAGGATGTCCGTCCTTTTCATGCGACAAGTGCTGAAATTGCAAATTTGCCCTCCCTCGGTACCAGTCAGCACCACTTTCCCTGCAGCAGAACTCACGATCCCGACAGACAGAGGGCCTCGCTGCACTACTCTAGACTCTCGAAATATTTCGAGAGTTCCACTACAGCGTTGTCAGAGAGGAGAGACTCTCGAAATACCCGACGTCACTCTCAAAACCCCCGGGGACTGGCCTCTACAACACCATGGACTTCTTATAAAATTAAGAAAAAAAAAAAAAAAAAAAACCTGTTACACTAGATGCACTCTCAGGGAGATTCGGCGGGCCTGGGTGGTTAGCGCATCGCTGCGCCACTCCGAAGCGACGCCGGCCGAAGTTTCCTCGTTCTTCGTGGAACACTAGGCCCTGCATCGTCGTAAACCTCGCCATCGTGACGAGGAACGGAGGGACCTCCATACCTGCGTATCGCGGGTACCGGCTTGCCGGAGTGGTGCCCTATCGAGGTAGCCTGGTTCGTATCCTATTCCCTCTCAACTGTGCAGGAAGTTTTGCAGCTCTCTTAAAGAAGCCATAGTCGTTAAGCTGGTAGGTCATCTCGGGGTCCTTCTTGGATGACTCAGACGCCCTTACCTCTGCAATTTTGTAAGTCAGGTGAAGAGGCAAGGATAGCCAGATAGTGCCACGTGGAGTCGGGATCAGACAGGAGATTCCAGTGCCTGAAGAGAGGAGGAGATTCTAGGGCCTACATAGAGTAAGGTTGCTCGACTCAGGAAGGTTGCCATAGCTTGGAGAGGAGAAGTTAATCATCCCCTTCCTGTGGGGGCGAAGTCAATTATTCCCTTCCTGGGGAGGTGGAGTCAAAGAGCGGTAAGGAAAGCTCGGTGGGGTCGCGCGAGGATCAGGGAAGAGCGAGGGTGCCTTCGTAGCGGTGCGTGTAAGAGTGGGGGAGGTAGGGCATGGCTGAAGTTTCTAGTAGGACCGAAGGAAATAGTTGGGGGAGTCCCTACTTGGTGTGTTCCTAGCTTTGGCAGCCCTTGCAGGAAAGAGGTGGGGACGGGAGTATGGGAGACTGACCTTACTAGCAGTGATGGGTTACCGGGAGTCTCACGAAAGAATCTGAGTTTGAGGTGATATATAGGTAGAGCTACCCAGTTTTCCTAGAAGTAGTCTCTCGTGAGATCCTCCGAGGGAAGGGGCCTTGGCCCATCATGGAGGTGGAGGAAGCAGGAGGGGGGAGGCCCCCAGCGGACCAGCCCAATCAAGTGAACTTTTGGGACATAGAGGAACACACGCGTCAATCGATTGGTCAGTGTTATGACGATGGAGTTTTCCAGATTGCGGCCAACTTGGGAGAAGTTATCATTGACGAAAGAGGGAAAAGATTCAGGGTTAATGGATCTTTGGACAAAATTAAGGAGAAGTGGTTGAAAGAGAGAACTGTAATTTTTATCTTTCAAGATGAGGCAAGGGACTTGACTCAAGGGGTGAAAGAAGACCTGATTCGGGCCTATGAAGATGGTTGGGCTGCGCGTAGACTTTTTGATCCGGAGCTTCGAAAAGGGAGAGTGAAGTTTGAGGGGCCCAAAGTGGTATCTTACGTGGCGAAGGCAGTCGAGGTGGCCACCTGGTTGGCTCAAAAAGGGACGATTGCTCTAAACCTAAAAGGGAAAGACTACACGATGACGCTGAAACCCTGGATGACGAAGCAAGAGTTGAAAGATTTGAAGCTAAGGGATGCTGAAGTGAATTTTTGGATTGTAGCCTTAAGAGTGCCCCTTGAGGCAATGTATTATGTGGCTTCGGCAGCGGAAGGGTTGATTGGGGGTGTTAAGCACATGCACCCTCCGGAGGCAGATAGATCGAAGCCGAAGCTGGTGAATGTCAAACTGGACATGGAGCCTCAGGCTAGATTTAGGGTAGAAGATCACCTGATGATTGAATCTCCGAAAGGGGAAATTTGGAAAGTGGAAGTGGCAACCCCCTTTTCAGACTGGTGTCGTCGTTGTCGGTGGTATTTCCACACTGAAGATACTTGCCCCAAACAGGGTATGGAAGGTCGTCCAAGGAGAACGTGGGCGAACTCAAGGCTCCCCCCTCAGAATGGTCAGGCCCAGCAGCAACAGAACAGAGAACAAGGCGAGGCTCACAACCCAGGGGGAGGAGGCCCAGCACCAGTGTCATCAGTCCCTTCAGGATATCTGCCACAACAGCCACAAGGGGTCCAGGTTTTTCCTCAGGCGTCAGGGCATGGTCAGCAGGCAGAGTTTCAGGGGGGTGGATATTCAATAGGAGCGGTGGGCCTCGCACCTTCGACCATCCAACAGTCTTGAGCAGCAGTAGTTCAGAGTGGGGAAACCTCACGGGCGTAGGGCCCACAGTCTGCTTACCCACATCAATTACATCGTCCGCTGCCAGTCAGCAACATGCTGCCAACGTGGGCACCTCATCTGGGCTGGCCCAATGGAATCCAGCAGCCGTATGTGCCACAGTGTTACCCAAGGCACCAAGGCTATCATGGTTGTCCAGAAAGCCAACAATTGCAGTATTATGCACACCCAGGAGAAGAGGCGGGGACAATTTTTACAGGAATCCAGTTGAACCATAGGTTCTCCTCTGCAGGGCTATCACAGGGCAGAAGGGAGCTAGGGGGAGCCCACCAACAGGACAGTCGGGGAGATAGCAGAGGGGTACGATTAAGCTATCGAGTGCCAGTTCAGGAGAGATCCCCCCTTAACTCTCATTACAGTGCAAGCCACTCAGCCCGGCCTCATAGAGCCGACCTGGCGGTTGAGTGGGCGAACCCCATTCACAGTGGGGCGTGACACATGTATGGGCCAAGTTCTGGTGGATTAATAGGGGCAAGGCTCATAAAAAGTTGGGCTAAAGAACCAATTGTTGGATTGTTTGGCTTTTCAGTCCGTGAGGAGATTTGGGTTGGGTGGGTTTTCTGGCCTGAGGCAGTTCTGATTTTCAGGGTTGGGTTCATCAGGGCAGCAGTCCGATTTTGGACAATTATGTCTCCGGATATCACCCTGACGACTGCACCATAACTAGGTAATGGTCCCAGTTATTTCCTTTTCTTTTCTATGTTGTTTGTTGAGGATTCCTGGCCTCTTCTCTGGTGTGCGAAAGAGAACGAGTTCAATCTCTTTTTTTGAAAAAAAAAGATTCCCCCCCCCCCCCTACCCGATGGGGGCTGGGAAAAAAAAAGAAAAAAAAAAAGGCAGGTGGGGGAAATAGATGAGAGGCGCAGCTACTAGGGACATGCTTGGTCTTTGCATTAACCCCCACTTTATTTCTTAAAGAAGAAGAAGAAGAAGAAGAAGAAGAAGAAGAAGAAGAAAAAAAAAAAGAAAAAGAAGAAGAAGAAGAACAACAACAACAACAATAACAACAACAACAACAACTTGAAGAACAAGAAGAAGAAGAAAAAGAAGATCCAACGACCTACCTTAGTTGATTAGGCACTTTGTTGGACTTATAAGAATTATCCTATATAAAGGGAAAAAAAAGTCAATACGGTTAAACCACCACTACCTTTGACGTCTTCGTGGCAGATCTCGAAATTTTAATTTGGAGGCTGAGAGCCACCAATGAAAAATATAAGCGGTCGACCGCCGTTGATTTTTTTTGAGCTGGTTACTTTTGCGACTTAGAGTTGTGGTTTGAAATGGGGGAAAAAATCCAACCGGTTTCTTGGGGAAAAGAAGTAGATCCAGATTTGGTGGTATTTTCGATAGATGTGGTTTTGCGCCAGAAGGTCAGTACCTTGTTTTGTATTTTGGGAGTTGGTGGACGCATTATTCATGATTTTTCGTCGACTTGAGTAGGATGGAGGCCGAGAGCTACCAATGAAAAATATAAGCGGTCGACCGTCGTTGATTTTTTTGAAGTTGGTTACTTTTATGACTTAGAGTTGTGGTTTGAAAGGGGGGGAAAAATCCAACCAGTTTCTTGAGGAAAAAAAAGAAGATCCAAATTTGGTGGTATTTTTGATGGATGTGGTTTTGCGCCAGAAGGTCATTACCTTATCCTGTATTTTGAGAGTTGGTGGACGCATTATTCAAATTATTTTTCATCGACCTGAGTAGGAAGGTGGTTCGATACACTTCTTTTGATTTATATAGGAAGTTAGTCACATATAATTTTATGCTTTCACATTAAAAAAATTGTGGAAGTTGTTCTGGTTGGTACAGTTGTTTTTTCTAGTTACTTCGTTGGATAGTTGCTCGAAGTTTTGCACTTTTATGAAAGAAATTTTATGGAAGTTGTTCTAGTACGTAGGGTTGGTTTTTGTTGTTACTTTCTCGGGAAAACTAGAGTCAGTCAAGACTTTTAATTTTGAATATGCATAAGTCATGGTTTCATGGATTTTGTTTCAAAGCGAGAAAAATCGTGAATGTATCCAACCCAGCTTTAGGGTAGCGTGAGAATGTGTCGTATTTGAGGGATGCATGAAGTGGATTTAGAACTGAAAACGTGACTACACCATCGCTACCCCTACTTTGCCGAATAGTTTTTGTTGTGTAACAGCGGGTTCATTGAACACGAGTTTCTCGTTCAAAATTTGAACGCGTTGAACGTGCGTTCAATGAACATGCAGAAACAAAGTGAACGCGTTTGCGGCTACCTCAAAACGCTGCGGAGGGGACGGAGGATCGACAAAGAGGGTTCGCAGGGGCGAGGGAAGGGGCTTAGGCACCCCACATTTCTTATAAGGGAGAAAAAATTCACAATAAATTTGAAGGAAAAAAAAAAAGCAAAAAAACTCACATGTGCGCTCGTACGAGCGAGTGTGTGTGTGCACGCACGCCCACTGTTGCGCGCCCCCGTGTGCATACGCACACACACTAACGGAGTTGCACGCACGTGGGCATACAGACATACACACAATCTCATAATGAGTAGGTGAAAGTTTGATAGAACTGTCCGGCACAGTCATGCTCTCTTTAAGTGTATAGGCACCTCACATTTCTTAAAAAAAAAAAAAAACACAATAAATTTGAAGGGAGAAAAAAACGAAAACAAAAAAGACTCACTTGTGCGCATGCACGCCCACAGTTGGGCATCCCCATGCACATACATACACACATACTAACAACGTTGTACGCACGTGGGTATACGGACACACACACACCTCATAATGAGTAGGTGAAAGTTCGACGCAACTGTCTGGCACAGTCATGCTTTCTTTGAGTGTATAGGCACCCTGCATTTCTTAAAAAAAAAAAAAAACAATAAATTTGAAAAAGAAAAAAAAAATGAAAACAAAAAAGACTCACCTGCGTGCTCGCACGTGTGTGTATGCGTGTGTGCACATACGTCCACAGTTGTGCGCCCACGTGCGCGCACACACACACACTAACGGAGTTGCATGCACCTGAGAATACAAACACACACACACACACACCTCATAATGAGTAGGTGAAAGTTCGATGGAACTGTGTGGCACAATCATG